TGTCCCTAAAGGATGAAACCACCCAGGGACCCCTGGATCCTGAGGAATGTTGCCCTCCACGCCTCCCGCCACCAGAACTCCAGAGGGCTAGAGGTTCCAGAGGTGCCAGGGCCCTCCAATCCAGAGGCCCAGAGCTGGTTACCCGCCCCGCAGTTCAGGAGACCACAGCCCCATCAGCGGCCCGGCCAGGGCCCTTGCTCGACCCAGAACTCAGGGAGGCCCGTCGCAATCTGACCGACCGGGTACCCAGGCAGGAAACGCCATGTGCCACCCAAGAGCAGGACCGGTGTTTTACGTGTGGCTGTTCTGGGCATTGGTCCAGAGACTGCCTGTGCATGGAATGTAGCTTTGGGAAGATCTGGACTCCGCAGGCACCAGCGTGCCCCAGGGACCCAGCAAAGCTGACCATCCCGCTGCAGGTAAATAGGAAAGAAGTTATGGGACTCAGAGATTCAGGGTGTGCCCAGATCCTGGTACGAAGCACAGTAGTGCCTAATTCTGGCTCAACTCAGGACACCATCATGTTGCAGTGCGTGCATGTGAGGGTCTACCCCTGCACTGAAGTGCCTTTAACAATAGGGAAACACGAAGAGCCCCGATGGGTGGTCTGGCCCCAACACTGGCCTACCAAGTTATTTTAGGTCAGGACTGGGACTATTTTGGGGACTTGTTAGCGGAACTGGTGGGGCCCCCGTCCAATGGTCAAGGACCCCTACCTCCTGCCACCAGCCGACCTGAAGCGGCAACCCTTGTGGGCATGGGGGAGATTGTTGACCCTGGTGAAGGGGCATCACAGGCCTCAGCGCCAACTCAGGCACACCAGGCCCCCTCCCAGCCATGAGGGGAACTCACCTCATTACCCAAGTCGGAGATCCTGATTCACCTCTCTGACTTTGTTGAGGAGCAATGGGCTAACACCACCCTGAGCTGGGCATACACCCAAGTAACAGTGGTGAATGGGGAGACTGTCGAACCCCGCCAAGCAGGACGATTCCCATGCTTTGAGATTCAAGGTGACTGTACTGAATAGAGAAAGATCAACCAACTGAAGAGGTTCGACATCAGCTTTTGGTGCCCCAGCTTTACTGGAATTAAGTTATGTGGCTCACCCATGCAATAGCCATGGCTGGGCACCTTGGAAGGGAAAAGACGCTGGCCAGGATTTTAGGTCGGTTCTTTTGGCAAGGGATCTACCAAGACATGGCCGATTTCTGTGCCTCATGCCCAGAGTGTCAGCTCACTGCACCGTGGCCAACTGAGAGAGCCCCACTGATTCCCCCTCCCACTTGTAGGTGTACCCTTTGAGTGGATTGGAGTTGACATAGTTGGCCCTCTTGAGAAGAGCGCCGCCGGACACCAGTTCATCCTTGTGGTGGTGGACTATGCAACCCGGTACCCTGAAGCAGTGCCGTTACACTCCATGAACGCCAAGCAGGTGGCAACGGAACTTCTGAACATCTTCGCCTGAGTCAGGGTGCCCTGGGAGATCTTGACAGATCAAGGACCAAACTTTATGTCCCAAATGTTCAAAAGCTCTGCCGTCTACTCAAGATCAAGACCTTATGAACATCTGTATACCATCCTGTAACGATGCTGGCTTTGGTGGGACCCAACTGAGAGTGCCAATTCAGGTCAAACTGCTTAAAGCAGGGCAGTTACAGCCCAAGGCTGGGGTTTCCATGCACACCAAGGCAAACCAAACCAGCCAAACAGAGACGACTTCGGTTTTACCCCACTGGCTAACCATAAGTCATACAAGCAATTCCCTTAGACACTCCAGTTTTCCAGTATCACCACCAGTGCCACTCATTATGGGGACAAAGCTGTACTAGCCAACAATCCATTATCTATCAAAAATATACCCTTTCCTTCCTAGGTTAGGGCTTCAACCTGACCATCCACTTTAATCTGCTCCTGAGAAACATTTTCCTGACCAATGAAATCTTTCTGCTCTTTATCTAATTCCAGATTCACTTCTGGGACATTAGACAGACATTCAGAAACTTCATTCACAGACAAACTGCTTTTTTCCTCAGAGAAACACTTGGAGAAACCCTCCCCAGGCAAATCATTGCCCATAATAGACACAGCTTTAAGATTATTTCTTTCCTGTGGCTGGTTACCTGGACTGAACAAAGCTTTAATATTTTGCCCAATCAAAAGATCCTTAGGCAATAACTTCCTTACACCAGCTATAACTTCATGCTTAGTACCATTCAATTCAAGGTGGATTCTGGCTAAAGGCACGTTTACAGTAAACTCATAGAGGACTACAACATTTACACTCTGATTTGGTAAGTAATCTTCCTCTTTGACAAGATCTGCTTTAAGAAGAGTGATGCTATAATTTGCCCTAAACAGCTTTTACCATTGATTTTTATGCTCTCTATGAATTTTTCATGAGCACTCCCATACATAGCATTGGCACAATTTATGGGGTCACTTTCTACTGAACTCACAGTAACAGCATTTACATAAAAGGTGGCAGTGTTGGGGTACCTTTGGTTACATCCAAATAACTGCTCAGAGTTAAACAACATACCAACATTGTTATAATCTGGACTTTCCAGAGGATACAATTTCTGCTGTTCTTCCATTGCTTTTTTGACTTGGAACTGAACTCTGGCAACCCTCTCCTCAGCAGCCAGTTGTTCCATTTGCCTTCTACAAGCCCTTTCCTCTCTTTCAGCAGCTTCTTTTTCCAATAACTTCTTTTCCTTAACTTCTTTCTCTAGCTGGGCCATCTTTTCCAGCAATCGAATGTCTGCTAGTTTCTGTTCATGCTCCAGTTGCAATTTATTTGCTGCCTTTTGCATTTTAATTTCTTCTGCAGCTTCTGTAGTATCAGGTAAGGACTGTGCTCCTGCCTTCTGATCACTGGCCATTAACAGATCTCTCAGTTCTTGATTTGTAGCTTTCTTTCTAAAACTTATCCCCTTTCCTGAATACAAATCTTCCAGGGGTTTTTCGTCAAGGCCCTCATATGCTCTTTGCTCACCCATTGCAACTGCTCTTTAACCAACCAAGCTCTCAATACCAAAATTTAAATTTAGATCGTGTGGGGTTCTGACCGAAAGCTTAACTGACCTGGTTCTATGGATCCTAGCACGACTACGCCATTGTAATGATGCTGGTTCTGGCGGGACCTAACTGAGAGTGCCAATTCAGGACCAATTGCTTAAAGCTGGGCAGTTACAGCCCAAGGCTGGGGTTTCTGTGCACACCAAGGCAAACCAACCCAGCCAAACAGAGAAGACTTTGGTTTTACCCCACTGGCTAACCATAAGTCATACAAGCAATTCCCTTAGACACTCCAGTTTCTCAGTATCACCACCAGTGCCACTCGTTATGGGGACAAATGGTTACGAAAACCAATACCCCAGTAAAAGAAAAAAGGTTCTCTCAATCCCAAAGGACCAAGCCTCCAATCCAGGTCAATATACAAATCAGATCTTACCCACAAATCAAGCTGTTGCCAATCCTTTGGAATCTAAAATCTAAAGGTTTATTCAAAAGGAAAAACATATAGATGAGAGCTAGAATTGGTTAAATGGAATCAATTACATATAGTAATGGCAAAGTTCTTGGTTCAGGCTTGTTGTAGTGATGAAATAAACTGCAGATTCAAATCAAGTCTCTGGAGTACATCCACAGCTGGGATGGGTCATTCAGTTCTTTGTTTAGAGCTTCAGTTTGTTTCAAAGCCCCTCCAGAGGTATGAAGCAGGATTGAAGACAAGATGGAGATGAGGTAGCTGCCTTTTATAGTCTCTTCCAGGTGTAAGAACACCTCTTTGTTCTTACTGTGGAAAATTACCACAAAATTGAGTTTGGAGTCACATGGGCAAGTCACATGTCCATGCATGACTTAGTTCTTTACAGGTGGCAGCCATTGCCCATATGCTATCTTGAACATCCCCAGGAAGACTTCTTATGTGGATTGGAGTGTCTCAAGGTCTATTGTCAGTTAAGTATTTCTTGACTGGGCACTTAACTTGCAAATTCCTTTCTCAAAAAGCTGACCAAATGCTTTACTAAAAGGCTACTTCAAAATTAAAAACATTGATATACAAGTACATAGCCAATAGTCATAACTTCAACTACAAAAATCATGCATGCATACAGATAGCATAATGATAATCAGCATACCATAATCTTTCCATAGACACCTTACACGACAACCATTGTACAATATTTGCTGCAAATATATAACAGTGGTTGCAACAGTGATCTATACGGTTACAGATTGTCAATAACGTCACACCACCCCCAAATGGACGGCCTGGTAGAGCGCTTTAACTGAACCCTAAAAACAATGCTCTGAAGGTTCATCCTGATGGATGTCCGACATTGGGACCAGCTGCTCCTGCCTCTCTTGTTCGCAGTCCGAGAAGTACCGCAGTCTTCCACTGGTTTCTCACCATTGAGCTTTTATATGGGAGGCAACCTGGGGGGATTTTACACCTCATTTAAGAAATGTGGGAGGAGCAACCATCCTGAGCCGATGATGTGGTACAGTATCTGCTAAACCTGCAGGAGAAACTTGAGTCCCTAGGTTAATTTGCGAGGGAGAACCTCCTACTGTTAATTACAGCCCTACCAAATTCTTGGGGAAGGCACGCACCCAGTTGGATTTTAGGGCATTATTTATTAGGTGGCCATCTTGGTCTGGATAAGAACAAGGTGACCTCCATGTTGTGATAGTTTCTTGTTCCCCTATTCTGGGCAAAAGGCGGGAAAGTGAAAAGAGTGGGAATCAGCTGTTGCTAAGTAACCGGTTTCTATATAAACAAACAAAAGGAGGGGCCAGGGGCTCTTGAGCGCTGGAATCTTTGGGGCTCAGGTGTCTAAAAGCTCTCTCTCTGTGGTGTGGTATATGGTCCACATTGGTTACTGGCCTGCAGTAGCCACTCACTGAATGAAGTTGTCATCTTGGGGTTTATTAGTTATTTTCTTTTGGGAAGCAGACGTGCACTCTCGGACTAGATCCGGTTAGTTAGATCTGACACTCACGCATAGCCGACGCAAAGAGCGATAGGATGGGTCTGAGATAGGGTTACTTACCTGTCTTTGACATCTGTGATCCACCGTTGATGTCCATCGCTGATCTCACCAGTCCAGATTCTGCAGCCTCGCCACGGGCAGTACCTGAAGGAGGTAGAAAAACACGTTTGCTTTATTGAGTGTGTGTGTGTGTGTGCGCGCTTATATTCCAAATATCCAGAGTCCTTAATCCATCTCCCTCCACTTCCTTCCTTCTCCTTTAGTAAATAAAGTGTTGTTGTGAGTTCATATCCATGTGGTGTTTTCTTTTTCCAGCTCTAATAGATGGGCTCAAGGGGGGACCCAGCGGGAGATATACTGTAAGGCTCCGCGAAGTCTTCTGGTCAGATAGGCTCCCTAAAAATCCTTAGAGTACATGCCCAGGATACCCAAGAAGCGGCCAACAATAAACGAGCACACCTCCGAGAGTTTCAACCCGGTGACTGGGTGTTGTTGTTGCCCAGTTCAGAGTTGAAGCTCCTGGCCTGCTGGCAAGGACTGTATGAGGTGATCCAGTGTGTGGGGCAGGTCAACTATGAAATCAAGCAACTGGACAAGGTAAGGTATGACAGATCTACCCTGTGAACCTGCTAAACCGTGGAAAGCCCAGGAAGGTTTTCTAATAGCACCCTACCCACCAGAGCCCAAACTAGGCCCGCATCCGGGGAGGCCTCAAACCCCAGGGTAGTCAAGCCTGGGGACAATCTTACCCCTGAGCAGGGAGGTCAGGCCCAAGAACTGATCACTGCCTTCTCTTCCATTGTCTCAACCCGACCAGGATGGACTCACCTGATAATTCATCATACTCAGACGAAACCGGGCGTTAAGGTCAGAGAAAACCCCCAGCCCCTTCCCCAGAAGCTTAGAGAGACCATGAAAGAGGCACTCTGCTCGATGCTCGCATTAGGGGTGATTGAGGAGTCATTTAGTGACTGGAAAAGCCCCGTGGTACTGGTCCCTAAGCCCAATGGAAGCACCCGCTTTTGCATAGACTTCCGCCAGGTCAATGCAGTATCGAAGTTCAATGCCTACCCGATGCCTCGGGTTGATGAACTGCTCGACTGGCTGGGAAAGGCAGAATATATCACCACTTTAGACTTAATGAAGGGCTAGTGGCAGATCCCCCTCACACCTGAGTCCAGGGAAAAAAATGCTTTCTCCAACCCTGTGATAAATGAAGGGCGGGAGCGGGTTGCTTCCTTTTATGGACCCAGCCAGCCAATTAGCTATAAAATCCCGCTTAGTAGCTATTTTCTATTTGCTTTACCTGTAAAGGGTTAAAAGTCACTGTGATGCATAGGAAAAAGGAAGTGAGTGGGCACCTGGCCAAAAGAGCCAATGGGAAAGCTAGAACTTTTTAAAATTGAAACAAGACTCCCCTTTTGTCTGTCTGTGATTGGTCTCCCGGAGCGAGGGGATAGGGCAGAACTATGCTGTTACCGGCACAAAATTCTCTGTCATTTGCACACTCTAGGGCACCCAACTTTACCCTAAATTTGTTGCCCGCACACTCTAGGACATCCCACCTCTACCTAGTTCCTTGGGCTCAAGGCATAACCTGGTTGATTTAGGTACCCCCACCCTTTCCCAGTTCCTAGGGATCCAGGCAAAAGGCACCTAACTTTACCCCTCCGTGGGCTCCGGGCTCTACTCCTCCAGGCTCCGGGTAAACACCGATTCCCTGTGGACTCAGAGCTTAATCTTTTGCGGGTTTACAGGGTCTTTTACCAGTGAAAGAGCCTTACACAGTAATATCCTACTTAATCTCTATTTATTAACAATTACCAAAAAAAAAAAAAAAAAAAGAATGCACACATTATGCATACAATGCTCACCACTCCCAGTCCCAATAAGACTGAGGAACTTTTCCCTGCTGGCCAATCAGGATCAGGTCATCTGGGGGAATCCAGTTTCTGCACGGTGTGATTGGCAGAGTGTGAGGTCTGGCAGCTCTGATCCTGGGGCTGTGTCCTGGAGTTGGTTCCCAAGAAATTCCTTTTGGACCCTAGTTTATATAGTGAAACTTGAGTCCTACATAACCAATCATTTTACTAAATTTTACTAACCAATCCTAACATATTGCAATAAAACTCTCTAACCAATCATACCCCACTACCTTAATTAATTTACACCTAGCAAAATTAATTAAGTAAGACAGAAACAATCAAAGAACCAGAGATCATACAGAGAAACAATAAAGAAGTGGGGACCATAAAAACAAAACAATAAAGAAATGAGAATTTCACAATCACAGTTACTGCTAAGTGGTTTCTTGCCATACTGAATGCTGTCAAACTAAGTGTTCTTTAACCATCTTAAGATCAGTTTCTTTATCTGGTGATAGTGGGTGCTATTAGGTCAGGATCTCCTTCTTAACAGCCCGATGTTACATTGTTTTAATGTAATTTAAACGGAAAGTGAGGATGTGTCTTTCTGCTTCTTGGCTAATGGCTGCTGCTCTCCTAAAATGGCTGCAGACAAAGGCCTTAGGCCTCACAATATGGCTACAGAAAAAGGCCTTATCCTTACAATGTTGGCTACGTACTCCAGATGCGCTCCAGCCTGGAGTAGACAGGAGGTGTTGGATCTCCTGGGCCTGTGGGGAGAAGAGGCTGTGCAGGCACAGTGCCGAACCAGCCACGGAAACAGTGACACCTAAGAGCACGTTGCTTGGGGGATGCAGGAGAAGGGGTAGGACAGGGACCAGCAGCAGCGCCACGTGAAAGCCAAGGAGCTGTGACAGGCACACCAGGTCAGGGAGGCTGACAATCGATCTGTTGCCGAGCTGCAGACCTGCTGCTTTTACAAAGAGCTGCATGCCCAACTGGATGGAAACCCAGTCACCACCCTTCACAACACCGGGGATACCTCCAAGGAGCCTGAGTCCCAGGCCCATGCCATGAACAGTGAGGAGGAAAAGGTGGTGGATGAGGAAGAGCTGGAGGAAGAGTATGGGAGAAGGCAACCAGGGGATCCAGCTGCACAGTGAGCCAGGACCTGTTTTTGACTCCACCGCAGTCTAGCCAGTCCAACACGGGCAAGCATGGAGGGTTAGGCGCAGGGGCTATGCAGAGCCATTTGTTTATGTACCCAGGGATGTCCCTTGAATCCTCCTGAGATCTCAGTGAAACTTTCATGGAGGTCCTCTGCAATCCTCTTCTGAAGGATTCTAGGAATGGCAGCCTTATTGCTTCCTCCACAGTAGGACATTTTCCCACGCCGCTCAGCGATAACTTCATCGGGCACCATTGAAGTATACAGGCTAGCAGCATACAAGCCCGGGTGGCTTAGGGATGTCAGCAGCAGCTGGTCTCACTCTGCCTCTGTTACCCTGAGGAGTGAGATATCAGCTAAAATCACCCTGGCCTGTGGAAAATGCTGCCAGTATTCAGTGTAATGGTAATGCTGTTAGGCCATGATGCACTTTCTGTGCTTGTCAATCTGTATTTCCATCCAATTTGATTTGTGCTTTGAAAAATGGTTTGTAATTAACTTGCCATTGCATTGATTTTAACGTTTCCACCAGAGTCATATTCGCTTGTTCTGTGTGAGAAAGTTACAAATGAGAGGTCTTTGGAGTAAAACGTGAAAATAACCTGTCCAGCTCCTTCCTGACAGACCTTCTTCTGACAAAAATGCCAAAGAAATTCAGGAACACTAGCCAAAGCATAAAAAATCTGCAGAGGGATGAGGGGGGGAGAAGGAGAATAAGAAATAGAGAGAAGGTCATGAATGATCTCCTATTATAGTTAAAAGGAGTAATTTTCAGAAAGTTGTGAGCAACTGAAAATTTGGCATTAAAATAAAAATCCTGATCTAATCTTAACTCTGGTAGGAAACACTGAAGCTAGTTACATGATAGCTAATACTCAGGGGGGAAACATTCTGCACAGTGTCCAGTGGATGCACAAGCAGGATGCAATCTTCTATAGGCATTTCCATTTTTACAACTCAAAGACACAAAAAGGCCACAGGGTGGCAGCAGAGAGTGATGAATAAAATAGCAAAGTCAGTGCAATTCTTCCTGTTAGCTATTTCCATTTTGAATAATAAAATGCAAACAGGAATCAGCACCATGGTGTGGCTGGAATGGCTGCAGGTCAGAGTGGTGCCAAAAACTCATGGCTGGCAGAAGCGACATACAGAGAGGGCATGGTGGGGGGATGGTCAAGCGTCCCACAGATTGGCCTGCTTGGTGCGGGGACGAAAGGAGGCACTGTCAAGATTGTTCTGAATTCTAATCCTGTCCTCCAAAGTGCTTGCAACACCTCCCACCTTAGTGTCATCTGTAAATTTTGTAAGTATACTCTCCACTCCATTACCCAAGTCATTAATGAAAATATTGAATAGTACCAGACCCAGGACTGACCCCGGGAGATCCCACTAGATACTCTCTCCCCGTTGGACAGTGAATCATTGATAACTACTCTGAGTACGATCTTTCAGCCAGTTGTGTACCCATCCTGTAGTAATTTCATCTAGACTGCATTTCACAAGTTTCCTTATGAGACTGTTATGTGGGGCCATGTCAAAAGCATTACTAAAATCAAGATATATAATATCTACAGCTTTCCTATTATCCACTAGGCCAATAACGCTGTCAAAGAATGAAATTGGGTTGGTTTGGCATGGTTTCTTCTTGATAAATCCATGCTGGCTATTCCTTATAACCCTATTATCCTCTAGGTGTGTACAAACTGATTAATGTGTACAAACTGATTAATAATTTGTTCCAGTATCTTTCCAGGTTTTGAAGTTAGGCTGACTGGTTTACAATTTCCCAGATCTTCTTTGTATATATCTACACTGTAATTAGACACCCACAGCTGGCCCTCGCCAGCTGACTCGGGCTCAGGCTAAGGGGCCATTTAACTGTGGTATAGGTGTTCGGGTTTGGGCTGCAGCCCAAGCTCTGGGACTCTCCCAACTTGCAGAGTCCTTGTGCCTGGGCTCCACCTAAAGCCCAAATATCTACACTGCAATTAAACAGCCCCTTATCCTAAGCCCCAAGAGCCCAAATCAGCTGGCATGGACCAGCTGGAGGCTTTTAATTGCAGAGTAGACATACCCTTAGTCCCCCATTTTAAGTACAGGTACTACGTTTGCCCTTCTCAAGTCCTTTGGGACCTCACTTGTCCTCCACAAGTTCTCAAAGATAATCACTGATAGTTCAGAGATTGCTTTCTTTATCCTGGATGGCTCACCACTATCCCAGTTTAGAGATTTTCACATAATGACTTTGGTAGGACTCCTTGATAAAGGAGCAGGCTACAGACAGAAAGGACCCTGCGGGTTTGTGCCTTTATCGGCCTCTCAGTGCAGGGACCATCTGTGTTGTGTACAATGCCTAGCACAATGGGTTTCCAATCTTAACTGAGTGCCTACCTACTACTGAGATCCAAAAATAAATACCAAAAGATATTCTGCAACATACAGTTGAGCACAGGGTTTTCCTAATTCATATGTACTGGTCTGCGTGCTTTTCTAAGACTTAAAGCCAAGCAAATACATTCTTAGATGAGCAGCCATACTACTGCCAAAAACGTGTCCATTTACCCAAATAAATTAACTTTCCGCTGTAGCCACCGGCCCCGCCCCGCGGCTTGGATCCTCTGAGCGGCCCAGGCCGCTCCGCGCGCGAGGGAAGCGGTGCCAGGCGGGACAGCGAAGGCCGCAGTCAACCAAACCGGCCCCCCCATGGCCGCGACCCCAGCGCAGGCGCAGGAAGGGCTGCCGGCCACACCGCCCACCATAGCCCCGCCCTTCCCATTGAGAGGAGGCTGCGCGCGCCTGACTACAGGGAACACGCACCAGCTGCTCACGCCTAATGACGCTTCCGGCTCGCCCCGCCTCCCTCTCCCAAATCCATTGGCTTTGCGCTCCGCCACGTAGAGCTCGCTCCCTTCCCATTGGGGGCCGCATGCGCAGTAGCTGTTCTGGAGGCGGTTCTTAGAAAGAGCAAGAGACAGAACAGTTTGACTGGCCTCTCCCTTGTGATGTCATCAGCGCCGCTCTGAAGGGAGCGGGCGCCAGGCATTTGCTATAGGGTCCTGGTAGCTCGCCGTGATCGTATAGTGGTTAGTACTCTGCGTTGTGGCCGCAGCAACCTCGGTTCGAATCCGAGTCACGGCATCGCTTTGACAGCGATATCACGGCATGTGGGCTCGGATAGCTTTTTACTGGGCGGGTTGCAGACCAGACAGCGCCAGCTTCTTAGTGGGGGCACCCAGGCACAGCCAGCCTGTTACTGGGTTGGGGGGCACCCAGGCACGGCCAGCCTGATATGGGGTTGGAGATACCTGGACACAGTCATGATGATGGCGGGGGCTAAGGCAGGGCCAGCCTGTTATGAGGGCAGGGGGAACCTAGGCAGGGCCATCCTTTCCCCTCGGGGTTCAGCTTTTTAGCTCTCTGTGAGTGTGAGAACCAAAGACTAATTAGGAGGAGCTGGTCACGCTTTTAGGTGAGTGGCTGGTACCCAGCCACCTCCTTAAAGGCCTTGGACCCATGTTACTTATCAAAAGAAATGTAACTTATAACTTTTATTAAAACACTTAAAACCAAGAAAACATTTTGTAACCCCCCCAGACACCCCTGGGCAGAGGGCACAGGGGGTGCACAGGGATTAACAGCGATTCCCCTGGATCGGATATCTGCATAACAGTTCACAGAAGGGGGGCATGTGAGGTCACTACTGAGAGCCAGGCACACAGTTGGTTCGTCTCTGTTGGCTTCAGTCTCAAGTTCAACTAGATTTAGAGTTCATAGGAACACATGAGAGCATAGGCAAATAACACATACAGTTACAAGAGCATCTATCTTTTAGTAATTTTATTAAAGTTACTGACAAAGCTATAAATGTCATAGCGTATACAATTCCTATAGATACGTATAATGAACTGGTTATACCTACAGGCCTACTCACATCCTCCTAGTTGGTGTTAGAGTCTGCTGGCCCTCTCATGGATTGACCATCAATATGGGAGTGGTTCCTGATGGAGTTTTGCCTGCTCTGGGCACCCCTTTTTATACTCAAGTATCAGAGGGGTAGCCATGTTAGTTTGTATCCACAAAAACAACAAGGAGTTCAGTGGCACCTTAAAGACTTGCAGATTTATTTGGGCATAAGCTTTCGTGGGTAAAAAAACATTTCTTTGGATGCATGGAGTGAAAATTACAGATACGAGCAAAATAGTGCCAGTATGTTAGTCTTTAAGGTGCCACCAGACTCCTTTTTATACTGTGAGTCTGTCTATACCTATATTCTGCACATGTACATGGAATTGTCAACCCTCTTTTTCCTATTGGTTTGTATCCCCTGGAAACTCAAGGGATCCCGAATTCTATAGGCGGGGTAGGTTTTGTCAACATTGGCGTACCACCTTTGTCTGTGTTAAGGCATGTGTTAGAGACAGTATTTGTTGTTACAGCATGTTATGATTTAATTTTAATCTTCCCAGCTATACTTTCACAATATTACCAATTGGTATCTCTTTCCCATCATCTTTCGGGTTATTTCTCAGTCACTGACTAGCACCATCATTTCTTGTCTCCAAGGCCTAAAATAGCTTAGCTAGAGTCTTGCAGGCCTTGACCTACAGGTTTTTGCGTTTCAGCTTGTCTTACTCATGTCTACTACCTAGTTCCTCTAAATATTGATCAATCTTATACTTTTATAATCCTACAAATCAACTCTAATTAACATCCAGTGAATATATGTAATATAACATATTGAATAATCATAACATCACACAATAAATGGATACTAAACTAAAATCATTGGCTACATATGTGTCTATACTGGAAATGGTGTTCTTAAGGTCTGGGAGTTAAGGCAGGTCACCAGGAGGTGACGTACCTCAGACATGTCCCTGTCAGGCAGAAGGTAACAGACGCTTATCGCTCTGGCTGGCCATGTGTGTATTGTCTGCCTCACAGTGGAAACCTGTTTGCATACTGAATCAGATACCAGTCAAAAGACTGAGAAACCTACAAGAGAGAAAATCTACAGGAAAAAATCAGCAAGGGGGATGTCCTGTTTATGGATAAAGATAAAGGATGAAACACATGGGATCCTGCACTAAGGAGATAAGCTAACAGCATGTTTGTCTTATGAAAGGAAGGTCCCAGCCAGCCTGGCGGTCAAATGCTGCAAGGACTTTGGGTGAGCACTGCTCTGCAAGACATGAGCATAACTTGTTAATTAAGTCGAGGTTCTTCTGGAATGCAAGTTATGATTCTATTTTATATGTAATAATTTCTTTCCAATACTTCTATTTGCTATTACTTGAATCTTTGTAAAATAAACTTGGCCTTACTTTCACTATAAACGTATCCAAGTGCTTTGTGAAGCGGGGCGGTGAGCTGAGGTCGAACTGGTAAGCTGGGGCTCCCTGCTTTTTTGGAAGCAGTGATTCTGTGAATACTGCAAGTGTTCAGTGGACCAGGGGATGGACACTCCAGGGACATGCTTGGGGGGATTGAGGTGTGCCTATCACTATACTCTAGAGAGAAAGAGCGAGGCCTAGAAAGGAGTGTTGTCCATGGCCAGAGCAGTTGGGGGGCTGACCCCCCGGCAGGCACTGGCAAGGCTGCCTCATGCTAAAGCCAGGTGGTAGTGAGACGCCCCATAATTGGGTACCCCAGGAAGTGTTACACATATCACCAAAGCTCTGCTATTAATTCAAACTAAGAATATGCATATCAAATCAAAGTTACATTAACCAGATAGTCTCACTATCATCATGTTAGCTAAATCATCAAATTAATATTACAAATAATTAAACCGTATCAATTCTAAGAAAGAATCCAAGGTGGCTATCCATTTGGCTATAAATCCCAACTGAAGAATCTTACCAAAGTCAGGCAGATCTTCAGTGTGGTGCTGGTCAAATAGTTTAATACTGAAACCAAATTATCTAATGTCTAAACCACAACTTCAGAGCCAGTTAGAGCTTCCTTTTTTTACACTTCAGTTCTAGGGTGGTGGTGTGAAGAGGTGCCACACCGCCCGTGAGAGAGTTGAATTTGGCCAGCTGGGCCCAGTCAGCTAATTAAGCTGCAAAGAGAGGACACTTAGGTTGTGTAGAGCAGTAGTTCCCAAACAGGAATCTGGGACCCATTGGAGGGCTGCGAGTAGGTTTTGGGGGTCCACCAAGCAGGGCTGGCATTAGTCTTGCTAGGACCCAGGGCAGAAAGATGAAGGTCCACTGAATGGGGCTGAAGCCCAGGACCCTGAGCCCCACCACGCGAGGCTGAAGCCGAAGCCTGAGTAACTTAGCTTTGTGAGGTCCCCTGTGGCATGGGGCCCTGGGCAACTGCCCTGCTTGCTACCTCCTAGTACCGGCCCTGGCTTTTATATGCAAAAGAACAGTTGTTGTGGCACAAGTGGGCTGTGGAGTTTTTATGAAGGGGTATAGGAAGCCCTGAGAAAGGGTTTACCTAGTAGGCCTAAGAGAAGGATCTGACTAGGAAGGATGGAGAATAATAGCATAGAGAAGCACCGTAGGAAGTAGTCCAGAGGGGCAAGAGCAATAAGGTTGGTGTAACTGCAGACCTTAGCTGCTTACTACAGGACCCTGGACTGGAACCCAGAGTAGAGGATGGGCCTGGGGTTCCCAATAGCCACTGCAGAGAGGTATTGCTTTGGGGAAGTGAATAGGAAGAGTGCCTGATTTAGTCTCTATGGGAATGACATAGGGGGGAGGGCATGAGCTCTGCCTGATGCTACTTGAGGAGAGAGACTTTGAAAGACTTCCCAGGAAGGGGAATCACAGCGTGACCTGGATGGAGGGACGAGTCATGAAGTAGCTGTACTGCGAGAACAGGAGGAGAGCCAACGGCACCAGTTAGGAAGGGGGGGCGCGGGGGGGGGGGCTGCTACCTTCACCCTGAGTTTCATACAGGAGGTGTGCTCCCAGGCAGAGCTCTTAACTGCACATGTGAGTTCTGCAGAGAGGTGCTTCTCCCAGCTTCTGTCCCTGGATCAGGGAGTCAGTGTTTTGTTTACAAACAGAGGCAGGGTGATTAAGATAAGAAAAGGCTGGTAATTAAATTAAGGATCTGGAAGTCATGAGATGAATCTGTAAAACAGGAATCCCTCTGCAGGGGCGGATGGGGTTGAAGAGAGAATGCAGAAGACATACGGCCAAGCCCTCTGGTCCAAGGTTACATTCAGAAAAGAGGAAGATGTGAGGAGCGTAAGTGAAAAAAAGGGCCTAAAACCCAGGGAAAGGATATCAGTGGTCTAGAGAAGTTCCCACTCTACCTGTGGTACTTATGTGGGCCCATCACCGTAGTATCTGAGCACCTCACATCACAGCCCCTCGGTGAGATAGAGAGTGCTGTTATCCCCATTGTACAGATGGGGCACTGAGGCACAGATTTTCAGAGGTATTTAGGTATCTAGTGGGATTTTCAAAAGTGTCTAGAAAGTTAGTTGCTTTGTAAACCCCACTAGATGCCTAGCTGCATCTTTGGGTGCCTAAAAACCTTTCAAACTCTGTCCCTAAGGCATGAACCTGAAGTCATACAGGAATTCTAGAGCGGGAAAGGGTGGGAAGAGTAGAACCCAGGTTTCTCAGAGCTAGCTCCCTATCCACTGGACCAGCATTTCTCCCTGCAGCATGCTGCAAAAAAAGAGGCCCCTGATGGATGGGAATAAAACCAAGAAGGCCAGTTCTCTGAGACCCCAGCAATTG